ACAGTAAAAGTACTGGATGTGTGAAAATCACGCTCGATTGGGTGCTCGATACCCGCTCGAGCGTGTGACACAACTTAATGACACTTAAAAAAGTGTTCTGCTCGAGCGTACTGTAAAAGTACTGGATGGGTGAAATCCCCGCTCGACGCCCGCTCGAGCTTGAGACATGACTCCGCTCGAGCGCCCAATACTCCGCTCGAGCGGACTGTAAAACAGTGCAAGATGCTGGAAGCTCGATTTTCCCGCTCGAGCGGCACTTCCCCCGCTCGAGCGGACGACTGAAATCTGGAAATCCCAGATTCGATCTCCAGGTCTAAAACCAAGCTCAAAAGCATCAAAACCAATCCTCTTGGGCCCATTTTCTGGAAAACACTTGAAAACACATAGGATATCATGTTTCAAGCTCAATTTTTAAGAAATCAAAGCCCAAGGGTGTTTAATTCAGACCCAATTTCAAATCATTTTCAAGAACAATCTTCAAACATGACATGCATGATCTTAAATCATTTTCAAAGCTTTAATGCTGTTTCAAGAGAGCTCAAGCCTTCAAAAACAAGATGAACTCATGGAGTATGACCAAAAGGTGGACATGCATGTGAGGTATGATGAACCACAACCTCAAAACTTCAATATATGTACATGCATGCAACACTTAAGCTTCAATTCACCATTAATGACCCAAATCATGACTTAGCTCTACCATCTAACATGGACCATGCAACAATCAACTCAAAACATGGACAAGAAGACAATGGAGCTACCTTTAGTCTTGTAGTTCAAGAAGGGAGCTCAATATGCAATCACTTCAACAATTTCTTCAATTACCAAGCAATTCTACAAGCAAAATTGAGATGAAATCAACTCCTCAAGTCTCTCTCTCTCTAAGGTCGGCTAGGCACAATGAGAAATGGCTGATGAAATGTTCTTGGCTCAAGTATAATGAGCTCAAGGTATAGAGGTAGTGGCCCACTCAAGGTCAAAACGGTAATTAAGTCCAACTCTTTAATTAGCTTAATTTAATCTAATTTAATCATACCTAATCAGTTTTCAGATAATTATACTATAAAATCACATTAATTCTAAGGATCATTAAACATCAATCGATTTCGGATTCGGCCGCCGATAAGGCCTTCAATTAGCAGTCTAAACATATAAGCATGAACAGATAATCATACAGTCAAACAGATAGAATGCAATTCAAACAGATGTATTCATTTAATTCAGTTTAAAGTTCGGTCAGTCAGTTCAGTACTTTAATCAGTTCAATTATCAGTCAGTTATCAGTCCCGTTTAGCAGTAATCGGTAATCAATCAGTCATTAATCAGTAATCAGTATGAGGGTTGTTACAGCTTCCATGTGGGCATCAACACCCGAACCATTAGGATATATATTGTCTGTGTCTTTTCCTTCTGGTAAGTCTGCTTGTAGTACAGATGTATACAGATCTTGTGCTATATTCTTAAAAGGCAAAACCTTATATGTAAACTTGATTCCTCTCCACATTGGGAACTTTGATGTGATCTTAGGTATGTATTGGTAGCCTGCCAACCACGCCTCTATTGATTGTAAAGCCAAAAAGGTCTTCATCAGGTTACCAAACCAACCCGAACTTGTCTTTGATGGGGCTGGAGTTTCTAACCCTTCTTGTATTATATCCTCCATGACAGCCCAACGACTTCTAAGAAAAGGTTGCGGTGGTTATATTTGTTATGTGATCGATACACAAAAAGAGGCCCCCACCGTTGATGCGATCCCCGTAATACGAGAGTTCCCGGATGTTTTTCTTGAAGAGCTACCCAGTATTCTGGTTGATCGGGAAATCGAATTCACCATTGAAACCCAACCTGGCACACAACCTATATCAAAAGCTCCTTATCGCATGTCGATGGCAGAATTAAAAGAGCTGAAGATTCAACTCTAGGAACTCTTGGACAAAGGTTTCATTCGACCTAGTACCTCACCTTGGGGAGCTCCAGTATTGCTCGTGGAGAAAAATGATGTCACACTGAGATTATGCATCTATTATCGGGAGCTGAACAAGGTCACCATCAAGAATCGGTACCCTCTGCCGCGAATCAATGACTTGTTTGATCAACTTCAAGGTGCTCAAGTATTTTTTAAGATCAACTTGTGTTTTGGTTACCATAAACTAAAAGTCAAAACAGAAAGTATCGAAAAGATTGCCTTCATAACCCGTTACGGGCTCTACAAGTTTCTTATCATGCCTTTTGGCGTCACAAATGCCCTGGCAGCCTTCATGGATCTCATGAACTGAGTGTTCAAACCCTATCTTGATGAGTTCGTCATCATCTTCATTAACGACATCTTTATATACTCTAAGTCACCAAAGGCCCATGAGCAGCACTTACGAATGGTTCTACAAACATTACGCGATCACAAACTTTATGCCAAGTTGAAGAAATGCGAATTCTGGATCCTTAGTGTACACTTTCTCGGTCACGTCATTAACAAAGATGGCATCTCGGTTGACCCCCAAAAAGTTACAGCAATCGTGGACTGGCCACGACTACTAATGTGTCAGAAATCTGAAGTTTTTTTGGTCTAGCTGGCTATTATCGACGCTTCGTACAAGATTTCTCAAAGATAGTATCACCCAAGAACGTTGCTTCCAAGAATTAAAAAGTTAACTTGTGTCAGCTCTTATACTAGCGCTCCCTACAAGAGTAGATGTGTTTGTAATTTATAGTAATGCCTTATACAATAGTTTGGGTTGCGTTCTCATGCAAAATGAAAAAGTCATTACTTGTGCGTCGCAACAATTAAAGACTCACGAGAAGAAGCGACTCATGATTTGGAATTGGCTGCGGTAATCTTTGCTCTCAAAATCTAGCATCATTATCTTTACGGTGCAATCTGCGAGATTTACACTGATCAGAAGAGTCTTAAATATCTGTTCACACAGAAGGAATTAAATATAAGGAAACGACGGTAGCTAGAATTTATGAAAGACTATGATATAGAGATCCATCACTATCCAGGAAAAGCTAATATGGTGGTAGACGCACTGAGCCGAAAGATGACAAGAGGTTTGGCATGTACTCTCGTTTTCCGTAAGATCAATGGACTACTCGCCAACATAACCGTGGAACCTACACTGATTGAAGAAATTAAAGTACGCAATGTGAAGATAAACTTTTGAAGAAAAAGTACGATGAGCAAAGAAATACGCCTGATCCTGATTTCACTATAAGCAATGGGATACTGAAATTTCGAAATCGAATTTGTATACCCAACATCCTAGAACTCAAGAAGAAGATATTGGTGGAAACTTAAAGCTTGAGATTTGTAGTCCACCATGGCAACACAAAGATGTACCATGATCTGAAAAGAGACATAGCAAGCCACTCCCACGGGAATGAAAAGAGACATAGCAAGCCATGTCTCTAAATGTCTGCATTGTCAGCGTGTTAAAGCAGAACATCAGAGACCTGCAAGACTGCTGTAACCACTCCTTATTCCTGAATGGAAATTGGAACGCATTACTATGGACTTCGTGGTCGGGCTACCATAGTTATTTTTGAAAAATGATGCAATATGGGTTATAGTGGACCGATTAACGAAATCGACGCATTTTCTACCAATCAAAATCATGTACTCCCTTAATAAGTTTGCCACTTTATACATTAAGGAATTATTTGTTTGCATGGTATCCCAGTTTTGATCATGTCTGACCGAGACCCTCGCTTCGTGTCTCACTTCTGGAACAATTTACAAGAAGCTCTGGGGACTACACTGAAGTTTAGCACGACTAATCACCCACAAACTGATGGACAATTCGAAAGAACAATCCAGACGTTGGAAGACATGCTACGTGTGTGCGTGTTGGACCTCAAAGGTAACTAGGATGAGCACCTACCTTTAGTGGAATTTGCCTATAACAATAACTACCAAGCAAGCATTGGCATGGCACCGCACGAAGCTTTGTATGGAAGGAGATGTCGATCACCTCTATGTTGGACGGAAGTTGGGGACATGAAATTGTTAGGCCTCGAGATCGTGCAAGTCATAAGTGAGAAAATCCAACTTATCCAACAGTGAATTCGCATTGCTCAGAGTCGCCAGAAAAGTTATGCAAATACTCGGAGACCAAACTTGGAATTTCAAGTAGGGGATCGTGTGTTCCTCAAAATCTCACCAACAAGAGGAGTGATCTGATTTGGAAAGCGAGGAAAATTAAACCCACGTTACATGGGGCCATTCGAGATACTAGAAATGATTGGTCCTGTAGCCTATCGCCTTGCACTTCCACCTGAACTGTCCAATGTCCATAATGTGTTTCATGTTTCAATGCTTCGGCGGTTCCTTCGAGATCCAGAGCACGTTGTTGATTATGAGGATCTAGAAGTTCAGGAGGATCTCTCTTATGAAAAGCAACCAGTGCAGATTCTCGATCGTCGTGATCAAGTTCTCCGAAACAAGACCATATCATTGGTAAAGGTCTTATGGCGAAATCATCGTATCGAAAAAGCTACGTGGGAAACAGAAAGTCAAATGCGAGCCAAATATCCACACCTCTTCAAAATTAAGGTACGCCAAGTTTGGGGACAAACTTCTATTTAGGAGGGAAGAAATGTGACACCCTGAACGTTTAATTAAATATCACATAAATACTTATAGTTATATATAATTGTGAATGTATGTGATAATATATTATTAAATAAATAATAATAAATACATAATCTAATTTGGCATTGGATTATTAAATATGAGATTAATTAGAGATTATTATTTGGGGCCAAATTAACAGAAATATGGAGTTATAATACTAGTTGGGTCAAATTAGAATTAAAGATAATAAATAAATAAATATAAAAGTAAGAGTAAATAAATAATAATATTGATAACAATAATAATAATAGTGGGTATGGTAGTAAAATAAATAATTAATTTTCTGTTGGTATACGATAAAGTATAATTTAATTAGGGATTAATTTATTTATATAGTTATGCTAGGAAACTGGGCCAAAGTATAATTATCTTAAATATTTATTAAGATAACTATAAATCTATGTTAGTAATGAGCAAATCTAGGTGAGTTATGAAACAAATCTGTGGGATGATTCGGGTTGGCCACGTGTTGGCCAGTTAAAGGTTATAAAGGTTTTACCTCCCTATATGGAGGAGGCGTCCGGATCCTCTAAGGTGATTTCCTGAAGTGATCCTCTAGAGTGATAATTTATGATGCAACACGTGTCCAATTAATGAAATCAATGGTTGAGATGTTCCCTCTCCAAAACGACGTCGTTTTGGTTTTGGTTTTTTTTTTTTTTTTTGGGCAGATCGGGAAGGAGGAAGGAATGGGTTAGAGAGAGAATCTCCTTCTTCTCTCTAGAACCAGACCCAGATCTCACAATTTCCAGCAGATGAATTACACAATTTCGAAACTGAAGAACCAGACCCAGATCTCACTTTGGGCTTCAAACCCTGTTGTTGGTCATTTGGGTCTTCATCAGACAGTGAAGTGTGATAGCTTTAACAGAGGGAATTCATTTGGGTCTTCACGAGTTCGAATTTTTATTTCAATTTTAAGTTTCGAAATTGATCTTCGTTTTTTTGCTATGTTGGGTTCATGTGGTTTCTCAGCAAATCCATCCTATTTCATTTTTCAATTTGTTTTTTATTTTTTATTTTTTGGGTGAATAATGAGTTTGAATTTTTATTTCAATTTTTGAAGCAAACTCTGCAAAAAAATTGCAGAGAAAAGATGGAGGAGCTTCGAAATCGATCTTCGTTTTTTTTGCTATGTTAGTTTAATGGGTTTGATCATCTTTGTAAAATCTCTATATGTCCTTGAAACAAACTCTGCAAAAAAAATTGCAGAGAAAAGATGGAGGAGCTTCGAAATCGATCTTCATTTTTTTCGCTATGTTAGTTTAATGGGTTTGATCATCTTTGTCCAATCTCTATATGTCCTTGAAGCAAACACTGCAAAAAAATTGCAGAGAAAAGATGGAGAAGATTGATTCCACTCTATATGTCCTTGAAGCAAACACTGCAAAAAAATTGCAGAGCAAAGATGGAGAAGATTGATTCCATGGTTCTAGAGAGAAGGAGGAGATTCTCTCTCTAACCCATTCCTTCCTCCTTCCCGATCTGCCAAAAAAAAAAAAAAAAATCAAAACCAAAACGACGTCGTTTTGGAGAGGGAACATCTCAACCATTGATTTCATTAATTAGACACGTGTTGCATCATAAATTATCACTCTAGAGGATCACTTCAGGGAATCACCCTAGAGGATCCGGACGCATGGAGGAGTGGGTCAACTTGTGGAAAGAAAACGAAGAAAGGGAAAAAAAAAAAAAGAGATGCACATAAGTACTGAAAGTAAGAAATTTATAGTAGAAAGGTTGTGATAATGGAATAAGACTAAGGGTTAATATTAAGGTGAGTTATATTATACCTTGAGTCACCATAATATATTTTTCGTATGTTTTGACTTACTATATTTATTTTATACAAGTTATATTTTATAAGTTATATTGATTCAAGTTATGTTTTAAAAATATTTCAGTTACGTGGATTAATTTCTAAACTCTATTTGTTTAAATGAAATCCATGGATATGTTTGTTTAAATTTTAAAAAATATTTGACTATGATCTTATAAACAATTATGTATTGTAAGTACCACCACGGGAATCCCACACCTTGGTGGACTTAAATAATCATTGGTCTCTGTTTGGCCACTTTGTGGTCCTTTGTTTGTCATGGATCCATTGATCTCTGTTCTGATTGTCACTTTCGTGACCTCTGTTCTGTTCTGTACTGTGGTTATGGTTATTTATTTATATAATTTTCGTATTTCAGTTTATGTCACTTAAATGATTTATTTACTAAATTGAGTTATGTAAATGTTTTGACTTAATTAACTATCCATGGTTATTTTGTATTCCCTATCCTCTTGGCATAATTTTTTTCACTCTGCTGTGTGCTTATAGCTGTTACCTTTTTAGGTGACGAGATGTAGGGGAAACCCATAACCTCACAAAATGGAACCCGCACGTGGATTGATGTTGAACCACTATTTTGTCTTTCTTTTCTTTTTTATATTTTTTGCTTCCTTTTGTTCTACTCGGAACTTTTGTTCTACTCGGAACTGGTCACTGAATAATAAAATAATAAAAGCCCTATAAATCTATTTTCTCTTGTTAAAATAATAAAATGAAATAATTTTCTGTTTAATTATTTTTATTTTCGTTTGTACAATTTAATTTGCTACAAATAAAATGAGTTAGTAAGTTGCGATTTCAACCCTGAACCCCTGGGGTTGGGTCATGACACTAATATCCCAAGCGGGGCCTCAAATATGTTTATGGCTATTTGGGAAGACCTATTTGAACTAAAATAATCAATAAAGACAAAATATGTTAAAATAATTAATAAAATAAAATATCACATCTAATTCATAATAATTTTTTTTCATAAATATAAAATCAATTACAAAAAATAAGCTAATTTTTCCAAATATTTTTTAGCCAAATTAAAATAATAATAAAAAATTCAAAAAACAAACTAAAATAGCCAACTTTTTAACGAGGCCTGAAATTGTGGAATGGGTCACAACTAGATTAGGCCTATTTTGACAATTGAGTTAAAACTAAAAAAGTTAACTTTTTGACATTTTTTTAATTTTTTTGAATCACATCATTCATTTTTTTTTATACATTTAAAAAAAAAAATTAAAAAATTATCTTTTAACCTACTTTACAAAATGGACCAAGCTCCTCGGTTTTTAGAACAAAGTCTAAAACTAGAGCATATATAGGCACCGTTTGGGAAGAAGTTGGTTGGGTTTTTTTTGGCTATTTTAGCCACAAAAAATAAAATAGCCATAACAAACAAAACATCACATCCAATCCATAATCATTACACTCTTCTCTCATAAAAAAAATCAAAAAAGTCAAAAAGCCAAAAAGCCCTTCCCAAACCAAGCTTTTTAGCCCAGGCTAAAATAACCAAAAAAGTCAAAAAGCCAACCCATTTCCCAAACGGAGGCATAAAGGCCTTGTTTGAAAAGTTAGCTATTTTAATTAATTATTTGACTTTTTGTTTATTTTAAGCCTTGTTTGAGAATATATTATTTTAATAATTTGTTGACTTTTTAGTTACAATATGAGAAAAAAATAATATATTTAAAATGATTTTTTAATTTTTTTACGAAAAAATGTATAAAAAGTAAATTTTTTTTTTTGATTTTTTGGTACAAACTTTTTAATTTTTTAGTAACTTTTAACTTTTAAACTAAAAGTGTTGCATGTCAAACGAGGCCTTAATCTAATTAAAATAATTATATTTAAGAAGATAATTAATTTTTTAAATTTTTATAATTACTTTGATAATTATAAAACAAATTACAAATTAAATATGATATTTTATTTTATTAATTATTTTAATTTATGATTTCAACAAATTCTTTTTTTCAAACCCTAAATTCACAGTACCCCAATGATTCAAACCCATATGAGGTTAAAAAGTGCCAACCCATACCCAACCTCCCCTAAGCCTCCTCTTTGCCCAAAAAAAGTCTTCTTTCAGAGGCTTCTGGGGGAAGAGGAAACACAAATAGTTAGAGAGAGAAAGTTAGAGTGAGAGTGTGTGCTTGTTTTGGGAGAGTGTGGGTGGTTGGTGCAACCTCACTTATGGCCACCCCTCTGTCTTCCTCTGCCAACAATCGCAGGAGCTCACTGCTAAAATACGCTCCAACTGCGCACTCCCATAGCCTCAACCCCTTCGCCCCAAAACAAAACTAGCAAACCTGCAATGCCATCAACACTTTCCATGGCGACGACTTCTATCCTGCTACTTGTGGTTATCTTAACCCACTTGCTATCCTGCGCCGCCCGGCCCAGCCCCGAAACCCTAGCCGAGATCGAAGCCCTGACTTCCTTCAAGCTCAACCTCCACGACCCTCTCGGCTCCCTCAACGGCTGGGACTCCTCCACGCCGTCAGCTCCCTGCGACTGGCGCGGTGTCGCTTGTTACAACAGCCGAGTCAGCGAGCTCCGCCTCCCTCGCCTCCAGCTCGCCGGACCACTCTCAACCCAAATCGCTAACCTGCGCATGCTGCGCAAGCTAAGCCTCCGTTCCAATTTCTTCAACGGTACAATCCCATCTTCTCTCACCAAATGCACTCTCTTACACTCTGTTTTCTTGCAATACAACTCTTTCTCCGGCAACCTCCCGCCGGAGATCGTCAATCTCACCGGCCTCCAAATCCTCAGTCTTGCCCAAAACCAACTCTCCGGCGAAGTCCCCGGCGACCTCCCTAAAAGCCTTCGATTCCTCGATCTTTCCTCAAACTCGTTCTCCGGCGATATACCCAGAAACTTATCGACTCTATCAGAGCTCGAGCTAATCAATTTGTCGTACAACCAGTTCTCCGGCGAGATTCCGGCGAGCGTCGGTGCTCTCCAGAAGCTTCAGTACCTGTGGCTCGATTACAACCTTCTTCAAGGAACTTTGCCTTCGGCGATAGCTAACTGTTCATCGCTTGTACATTTCAGTAGTGAAGGAAATTCAATCGGCGGTGTGATTCCGGCGGCGATTGGAGCTCTTCCGGAGCTCCAAGTGATTTCTCTATCACACAACAATCTCTCTGGTTCGATCCCTTCTTCGATTTTCTGCAATGTTTCAGTTTATGCTCCGTCGATTCGAATCGTGCAACTGGGTTTTAATGGGTTCACGGACATTGTTGGGCCTGAGACAGCGACGTGTTTCAGTGTTATTCAGATTTTGGACATTCAACAGAATCAGATTCAAGGTGGGTTTTCTATGTGGTTGACGAATCTTTCAACTTTGACAAAGTTGGACGTTTCGGGTAACTCGTTTTCGGGTTCGATTCCTGCTTCGATTGGAAACTTACTGAGATTGGAGGAGTTAAAGATGGCGAATAATTCACTCAACGGTTTAGTTCCAGCTGAGATCGCAAAATGTAGCCTTCTTCGTGTTCTTGATCTCCAAGGAAACAACTTTACTGGTGAAATTCCTCTATTTTTGAGTGAGCTCAGAGGTTTGAAAACACTCACACTTGGTGCAAATCATTTCTCAGGCTCAGTTCCATCGACTTTCGGCAATCTCACCGGCCTCGAAACTTTGAATTTAGGGGATAATAACTTGACAGGAGACCTGCCGGCGGAGCTAATGCAATTGAGCAATCTGAGCACATTGAGCCTCAGCGGAAACAAGTTTTCGGGTCAAGTTCTGGCAAATATTGGGAATTTAAGGCAGCTATCGGTGCTGAATTTGAGCGGTAATGGGTTTTCGGGTACCATTCCGGTGAGTGTGGGGCGTCTTTACAAGCTAACCACTCTCGATTTGAGCAAGCAGAACCTTTCTGGTGAGTTGCCTTTTGATCTCGCGGGTTTGCCAAATCTGCAATACATTGCTCTGCAAGAGAACAAGTTATCTGGGGAAGTTCTTGAAGGTTTCAGTAGTTTGTCCAGTTTGAAATACTTAAATCTCTCTTCCAATGCCTTATCTGGTCTCATTCCTTCAACTTTTGGGTTTCTAAAATCACTACTCGTTCTCTCATTGTCCAACAATCACATCTCTGGTTTGATTCCACCGGAGCTTGGGAATTGTTCTAACCTTCAAGTTTTGAATCTTCGTTCTAATTCTTTCAGTGGTCCAATCCCAATGGACCTTTCTCGTCTCACCCATTTGAATGATCTTGATTTAGGTAGAAACAATTTAACAGGCGCAATCCCAGATCAAATGTCCAAATGCTCGGCACTGACTTCTCTTTTACTCGATTCAAATCATCTCCCAGGCCAAATACCAGACTCATTGTCCAATTTATCAAACCTCACAGTCCTCAATCTCTCTGCAAACAACCTGACCGGACCGATTCCAGCAAACATTTCACTCATCTCTAGCTTGGTCTACTTCAATGTATCCCAAAACAACCTCTCCGGCGAGATTCCAACAATGCTGGCTTCAAGATTCAACGATCCATCTGATTATGCAGGAAATCCGAACTTATGTGGGAAACCCTTAAGCACGAAATGCGAAGAGATGAGTAATAGGAAGAAGAGGCTGATCATGTTTATTGCCATGGCTGTTAGTGGTGGTTTCCTCTTAGCACTGTGTTGTTGCTTCTACACTTACAGTCTCTTGCGGTGGCGCAAGAGGCTCAAAGAAAAGGCTGCCGGAGAGAAAAAGCGCAGCCCAGCAAGAGCAAGCTCAGCTGCAGCCAGCGGAGGTCGTGGAAGTGGCGATAATGGCGGTCCAAAGCTTGTTATGTTCAATAACAAGATCACTCTAGCCGAAACAACCGAAGCAACGAGACAATTCGATGAAGAGAACGTTCTAAGCAGGACTCGATACGGGTTAGTCTTCAAAGCCTGTTACAGTGATGGAATGGTGCTTTCGATTCGGAGACTCCCTGATGGATCGCTAGACGAAAACATGTTCAGAAAAGAAGCCGAATCGCTCGGGAGAGTGAAGCACAGAAACCTCACAGTCCTCCGTGGGTACTTCGCCGGACCACCAGACCTCAGACTCTTAGTCTACGACTATATGCCTAACGGAAACCTAGCCACATTGCTTCAAGAAGCTTCTCACCAAGACGGGCATGTATTGAATTGGCCAATGCGCCACCTAATAGCCCTCGGAATCGCCCGCGGCCTCGCCTTCCTCCACTCCACCGCCATGGTTCATGGCGATGTCAAGCCTCAGAACGTCCTATTCGACGCCGATTTTGAAGCTCACCTCGCTGATTTCGGCCTAGACAAGCTCATAACAACTTCAGCTACTCCAGAGCCTTCATCTTCAACTTCATTAGTTGGGACTCTGGGATATGTATCCCCCGAAGCGACTCTCACTGGAGTCGCCACTAAGGAATCAGATGTTTACAGTTTTGGTATTGTGTTGCTCGAGTTATTGACGGGGAAGCGGCCGGTGATGTTTACGCAGCAAGACGAAGACATAGTAAAGTGGGTGAAGAAGCAATTGCAGAGAGGGCAAATCTCGGAGCTGCTCGAGCCGGGTTTGCTGGAGCTGGACCCGGAATCGTCTGTCTCGGAGCTGCTCGAGCCGGGTTTGCTGGAGCTGGACCCGGAATCGTCTGAGTGGGAAGAGTTCTTGCTCGGTGTTAAAGTCGGGTTGCTGTGTACTGCACCCGACCCGCTCGACCGACCCACCATGGCCGATATCGTTTTCATGCTCGAAGGCTGCCGGGTCGGACCAGATATTCCGTCATCCGCCGATCCCACCTCCCAACCATCGCCGGCATGAAGAGAGGACAAAAAAACCCAATCTTTAATTTCTTTTAAATTTTTTGTTCTTTTTTTTATTTTTTATTTTTGATTTAATGAAAGTGTAACAATGGTTGGCTAGTTTTGTTTTGTTTTGGATTGGAATTTTTAATTGGGTTTTGTTTGTTAGTTGGTTTGTAAAAACGCCGTGCCGTCCGGGAGGGATTGTGTGGAGCCAGGAGTAGTCTAGCTTTAGCTCTACAATGAGTGAGAGACTGAAAGTGAGTGAGTAATAAATATTTTAATTTTTGTTTTTTTGTTTTTTCAGTCAACGACAACAGCTGAGCAGTTATTAAGGGGGGGAGAGAGAGAGAGAGAGAGAGAGAGAGAGAGAGGTCCACAAGTTTTTGGCGCCAAGGACGGGAGTACACTGGTCACCACTGGGTTCCATCACGTGGCTTTTAAATAGGTCTCTGTTTGGGTTTTGGGCTCCCTCTCTCTCTCTCTGTCTCTCTCTCTCTCTCAAAATGTAGCCGTTAAAGTGTTGGGGTGAGTGAGAACAAGACTGACAAGATGAAGCCACCCAGAATTACAAAAAATTAATTAATTTTGTTTTTGTTTCTATTACCATATATTTTTGGTACAAAACGGAGGGTCATTAATTATTTATTTCCTTTCTATTAAGAGGTAGTAAGGCTCGTGACTATGGGGCCTTTTGGAAAAAAGGGTAAAATGTTAGCTTTTCATTTTTTATTTATTTGGGTCACATTATTTTTTATGTTTTTTATTCATGAAAAGATAAAATAAATTAAAAAAGTTAAAAAATTATTTTTTTATCAACTTTTTAAAACACTCTTATATGTTCGGAAAAAATGTTATAAATCTCAAATAATTTATTTAATTTCTTACATAGGTGTAAAATTTATACAAATTTACATGTTTATAGATCCCATACTACTCATATGAAACGTTTGATAAAAAATTTAGTAAATTATTTAAAATTCTTAACATCACTTTTGATTCATCTATTTGGTGTATGATAAAGGGCTAACCTAATATAAGACTATTTTGGAAATTTTTTTAAATTTTTAACTCATTTTAAATCAAGTCATTTCGTATATTTTTTTATATATTTCTTCAAAAAAATTTAATTTTAATTATCTTTTCAAAATAATCCTATGGCAAACTGCCACGTCACCCCTTTGTGATGTCGGTCGGTTGTTTTTGGCCGAGCATGTATTTATCTACCCAAGTGGAGTTTCAATTTTTCATTGACTGCGAGATTTCACTGCTTTAAATAGAGAAGTGGTGGGTGAATATAAAAATTTAAAAAATATTATTATGTAAATAATTTTTTAACAATTTTTTTTTTTTACAATATGATGCTACGTCTTTGTATTTAAAAGGAGACATTTCAAATGACGAACAATTTATTTGACATTTTTATAGTAAGTATATTTAAAAAAAATCGCTTTGTATAGCATTACTCAAATAATTTTTCCCAATATGTTTGCCTTTAATCTCAATACACTCGTGACTATAATTTGAATTTTGATGCATAATTCAATAATTGCCAGCCTTTAGAGACTAGAAATAGAGAGATTTAAGATATAATCGTGTGCCCAATGTATACAATTTTAAAAAATTATATAGCTCCCAATAGATGAATCAAAAATAAAAAATACATATAATTTCCGTTTGAGAAGTGAGTTGATTTTTTGACTTTTTGACTTTTTTAGCTTGAGCTAAAAAGCTTAGTTTGAGAAGGACTTTTTGACTTTTTAATTTTTATGATTTTTTTTGTGAGAGAAGAGTGTAATGATTATGGATTGAATGTGATATTTTGTTTGTTATGACTAAAATAACTTATTTTGTTTTTTGTGACTAAAATAGCCAAAAAAGCTTGAACACTTTCTTCCCAGACGGTGAACAAAATGAAACTCACAATTTTGAAGACTCACAGGATCAAGCCGACCGGGAGAGGGGAAAGTGAAAAAGAAAAATTTTGAATTGGGTGACCCACACCAATCTCAATAACAATTTTTTGTTTTTGTTTTTTTCGCAACTCTTTGTGGGTTCATGACTAGACCCCTACCCCTACCCCTACATTGAAATGGATTGCAATAATAATATATGTATTTTGTCATCTAATTTACATTTTGTGAGTAGACCCCAAACACAAACCTTCCTTCCCTCTCTCTTTTTTGTTTTGTTAGTTTGTAAACAAATGAGCACAGCCACCACTGTTGTGATTCGTAATAGCTCTTCCTTTTGCTGGATATTGGGTTGTTTATTGCGCACACGCAACGCAAGTTACGCAACCATCTCGCAATAAAAGATTCTCCGAAAAAAGCCAAAGAATGCAAAAAAATAAAAACTACACAGGAATCAAAGAGGTGTGCAAAAATAAAATAAAAATGTATTGGGCAGACTTACCTCGAGCATCGTTCAGAATACGACAAAATCTGAAGCAGTGACCGTTAAAAGAGTCCTCTCTCTCGTGGGTTTTTTGTATTTTACAATTCAACAATGATTTAGAATACTAAATTTTAGTATTTTAATGGAATACTACCCACATGACACTGAGAAAAAAAAAAAAAAATCAAAATAAATCAAAATTAAGGCCAAGTTTGACATATTGTATAAAAGTCAAAAAATTAAAAAGTTACTCAAAAAGTTAAAAAGTTAACACTGTTCACCAAAAGTCAACAATTACGGCTGCACAACTCTCAATCCTAATTTTTCTCTACAAATCAATTTTTACAATTTTTTATTACACATTTTTCTATAAAAAGTCAAAAAAAAAATTTAAAAAAATTACAAAAAAAAAAAAAAAAAACTTAAGATTTGACCATTCTAATAAATTAAAATTAAAAATTTTAATTTTATCAATTTAATAAATTTTTTATTTATTTTCAATTTAAATTATTTACCTATTTTCGTTAAGTAAAAAAAAAAAGAAGACATTTTAATTATTAAACTCAATGAAAAATGATTTTTTTAAACATTTTATACTTAACAAAAATAGGAAAATAATTTAAATTAAAAGCAAATCAAAATATTAAAATTTAAATTTACAAAATTAAAAACTCAAGATATTTTGTTACAAATCTCAAATTTTAAATTTATTTATTTATTTATTTGTCTCTAAAAATATTAAAAAACTGATAACAAAAACATTAAACTGTTTTTCGAAATTTGGGGAAGCAAAAAAAGAAAAAAAAAAACAAACGCATTATTTATTTTCAAAAGCGAGCTAATGTGTTTGATCACTAGGCCACACCTCTAATAACTCATCAAACGTGTTACTACAGGGTCTAAGGCCTCGTTTGGGAAGTGTAGATTTTAATTAAAAAAATCACACAACTCATACCAAAAAATTAAAATATCCTTCACATTCATTGTACAAAAAACTTTTTGTATTGTCATTTCATAAAAAATAAAAAAGTTTTTCCCAAACTTTTTTTTTTCCACAGTACATTTTAACAAAAAAACCAAAAAACCACTTACCAAACAGGTGGCCTTCATCAAATGATTGCCCTACAGCTGGCCTCTTTAACCACTTCCATATAGTTAAAAACTATCTTCTAACTTTTAATCCATTTTTGGGTCACACTATCTCTCACTTTTTTTACACATATTTTTACAAAAAAAGCTAAAAAAAAGCCAAAAAGTCAACTTTTAACTATCTTTCCAAAACAACCCTAACTCTAACTCTAACTCATCCAATGCGTTTTTATCTTTTAAGTTTAATTTTTTATCTGAAACATAAGTTATCATATAAATTTTAGTGTTTTTATTTTTGCTTTTAAACAAAAACAAAAACAAAAACATGTTACATAAATCAAACATTATCAAAGGACCCAAAGTTACACTTATATATACAGTCCAATGACCCTAGTAACAGCTAAGAGACTGTGGAGCCCATTGTCTACTTATAACATGCATAGCATAGTGCTTCTACTTGTATACAAACCAATCATAAAATTAGATACAATCATCTTTCATAGGTAATTTGAGAGAATCCAAAAAAAAATAAAACCCACCTATGTAAAAAAATAAAACCCACCTATGTAAAAAAATTATGTCTGATTTTGTAATCAATTTGTGCTGCTAACCTTTTTCTAATATCCGTGGGCTAAAAAAATTAGAGGTGGGGCTTGCAGTGAATTCAGACTTTCCTGTAGACTGTACCAAAAGGCTACACAGTTTGCCCTCTTATCTATATGCATTATTCTAAGGTCTCACTTAATTTATTTACGATGCCCTTGTACTGTATATCCCCTAATTGCAAGCCACAAAACCCAACTAAAAAAAGCCAACCTACTATACATAGTTGCAACCTGACCAGATCCAGCAATTGGGCTGATCTGCTTGCACCTCACAACCAGTTTGGATCCTATCCACCTCGTTTACTATGATTTATTGTAAACTAAAACTAATAATCAAACAACAAACGCTAAAACATACTTTCCAACAAAGGCTAAATTAGTTTTGCATCATTAGCTGTAAATAAAAGTAACACTAAATGCTCTGAACACAAATTCCTAGCATAAATATAAATATTAAAAAAAAAAAAAAAAAACAAACAAAACTTATAGGAAACCTAAATAAGCACCAAACACCCTATTATCACCCTCAATAACATTTTTGCCGTGGAAATCACTTTGATATGATTTTGTGAAAAGTTAATGACATCTTTGGACTTGTCAGGCTAAGTCACATCTCCCCTTCCCTTCATTATACATAAACTATTACACAATGTTTAGATGGAAGTGAAGAATGGAAGTTTAGGTCGAATGGGAAATAAAGGAAAATTTTCCTATTGCTTCAATAATAAAAGAGAGGGAAAAGGAAGGGCTAAGAAGGCGGGTAGCGTTGTTTGGGGAAAGAAGGGATGAGAAAAGGGAGGATAAAATTGGTACATCAGAAACTTCTCTTCCAAAATTAATAGCATTGGTAAACAACGAAAGCAACCATCGAGGTTTGATCACTAAAAAGAAAAAGGAGACCAGTAATTGAAACAAATTTGTGGTATCCAGAGCTGCTTGGCGAAACCTTGCATGGAGTGTCTACTGGTTAACATGCAATTATCTATCATAAAGCAACATAATTTGTCTACTACAAGCCGTATGAGTGGCAACTTCCATGTCCAATTCTTTCACCATCACTGATGCATAAATTAAGAATTTGAAATTGAAATTGAGAAAAAGCTGTACTTAAAATAACACTCCTACATGTACACGAACTAGTATCACAAGACGAATAGTATGCTCCTTGGAACTTATGTAAAATACAAAGATGCAAACGTAAGAAACAAGCTTCACAAAGCCTTATTTCCCAGAGGAAATTGTCACCAATATTACAATCAAGCACAGAATTACTTAATGATGTGAAGAAGAAATTGCATGCATCACAATAATAAGAGATTGCAACTTCCAAACTAGCCTCACTAACCTGATAATAAGGTGATGCAAACGAACTGTAAGAAGAGCGAGGACACCATTCTCTAATCTGCTCTTGATTGGCCAGCACGAGAAGAGAGGATAATGCCAACAATAAGGCCATACAACGCCAATGCCTCCGCGAAGATGAGAATGAGAATCATTCCAACAAAAAGCTTAGGCTGTTGTGCATTAGCTCTGCAGTGATAGTCAAATATCAGGAAGGAAATTTTTATTAGATCTATCTGACATTTATACAGCTACTACTCTATTCCACAAAAATATCGATGGATCCAAAGCCATGAGCTGATTGCCTAAAGAAATTTCAACAAATGAATGCAAAGATTTGATATCAAATACAAATATCCTTATGGAAAATGCTATTCCACCAGACTTTTTATAAAGAATATTGCACCAGAATGATGTGGCAGCGTTATTTCTGTAATTAAAGGCAACTCAACGGTCTATTTGTTCCGAAGTGATCAGCTCAAAACCCAGCAATGTCATTATGTTTAAGTTTTTTATGTGTGGATCACTACTCTATGCTTATATACAGCACCAAGTAGAAAACAGTGAAATTATCAGCAATAGGAGCATGGACCATTCAGCAATATAACATTAAGCTCTAGCATCCATGGATGGAAGTGCAATGAGGAACTGGAACAACTCCTTAAAGACCAAGTTCACGTGGATAGAAGTAGATTTTATAACCATCCTAAAGAAGAAGAGGAGGAGGAGGAAGAAGAAAATCTATTTTCAATTTCGGTTAAAGCAAAGATCAAACACTAGACAAGGATTAGATGTGCCCTCAAAAAGGGTATGCTCATCATATCATAATTCATGAGAACATGGGCACTGCACTTTATTATTGCGCATTAAAAACATCCCAGACCAAATTTGTCATCCCCAAGTCACTTAGAATCTTATTTTAGCCATCTAACCAAGCCAAACCAAACCAAGCCTTAAGTCTCATCAAATGGGGTCAGTTGCATGAATCCTTCTTCTCCACTCGACTCTATCCAAAGCCATTTCGTTAGTCAAATTAAAGAGATTCATATCTCTATTTACTACACTAGTCCACGTTAATCTAAGTCTACCCCTTCTCCTAACACTACCATTTATCGTCATTGTATCGCAACTCTTCACTACTGCCACTGTTGGTTTCCGTTATATATGACCAAACCATCTCAATCTATTCTCTCTCAACTTATCTTCTATCGATACTACTCCTACCCATTCTCGAATATACTCATTCCTAACACTGTCTTTTCTAATTTTGCCACACATCCACCTTAGTATCATCATCTCAGTAACACTCATCTTATCTACATATTGTTTCTTAGTTGCCCAACATTCCGTCCCATACAACATCGCTGGTCTAATAGTCGTTCTATAAAACTTCCCTTTTAGTCTAATGGGTACTCGTTTATTGCATAGTACTCCAAACGCACTCCTCCATTTAAGCCACCTCGCCTTAATTCTGTGGACCACATCCGCTCTAATCTCCCTAGTCGTTGTGATAATCGATCCTAAATAACGAAAATGTTCACTCTTAAGTAATTCTTAGTTCTCAATCTTCACTTCTCCTCTGCTTCCATTGTAACTGTTACTTAAATTACACTCCATATACTGTGTCTTAGTTTTGCTTATCCTAAATCCTTTAGATTTAAGTGCTTTTCTCCAAATCTCCAACTTAGTGCTAACTCATTTTTTAGTCTTATTCACTAACATGACATCATCTGCAAAAAGCATACACCATGAAACATCATCTTGAATATTGCTCGTCAACTCATCCATAACTAAAGCGAAAAAATAAGGACTTAAGGTTAGTCCTTGATGTAACCCTACAGTAATTGGAAATTCACTCGTCTCTTCAGCAGGCAATCTAATAGTGGTCACCACACCTTTATACATATCCCTAATCACATCAATGTAAGTTTTTGATAACACCAACCAGATTATATCCCGAAATACTCTATCATATGCTTTCTCAAAATCGATAAAAACCATATGAATATCTCTTTTCTCCGTTTTTAGTTGTGGTTATTTGTTATGACCTGACATCATTACATACATCCAGACCCAATGACTGTTAGTGGACAAGAACACATTTCTTAATGACCACGGAAAAAAAAAAAAGAAGCTAGACAAGAGTTGTTGCATCTCAGTAATGAAGCAGAAGATATAGACTTTCAACTAGGCAAATAAATTAACAAGCAACACCTATAAAATCTGCACACAAGGTTTTAAAAAGAGGCCGCAACCGTTATGTAACGGTTGTGGTGGTTACCGCTAGTCGTTACGACTGCTATAGTGGTATAATAGAAATTCACGACCGTAACAGCCACTACCGTTACGTAAAGGCTGTAGCAACCGTTACATTGCTGCTATAGCACCGGCCGCTACAACACCGTTACGGCCATTACAACCGTTACACTTCTATATATAATTTTTTATAAATTTTGTAGATATTGCTATTTTCTCTTTTTATTTTCTAGTTATATAGAATTTAAGAAAAAATGTTATCTATACATATTTTGAATGTCCAATCTTCAAGTTCTACAAGATTTCATTACTTTTTTATTTAATTATATTTGAATATGAACTTAATCTATTTCTCTTATGTAAATTTATTGAACAAAATTTAGATTTCATGTTATATATTTTTACATTATTATGTTGACATTTTGTATTTTGAACTTCTATTTATGAGACTATTGTTTTTAATATTCATTTTTTTTTCTTAACAAATCAGAAAATTATCCATAATTATAACTAGTAAAGTAAAGAAAATTAAATAAATTCAACAATAGGATAATTCTCCATAGCAACTTAAAACTATATATAAAAATTAGTATATATATTGGAGCATGTTTTAAAACTAAAAAAAAATACTAAAAATCATTTTGAGCCTCACTAAATGTGATTATGAAATAAAAACATGCATATCGGTATGCTCGCTTAAAGTTGTGCGAAGAATTAAAAAATTCACAGTTTCGGTTGCCGCCACCACTATGCTACAACTGTTACACCCCGCAACCGTGTCCGCGTTACCGCTATCGTTACAGTAACTGCCATCGTTATTTAAAATCTTGTCTGCACGTGAAAGTCAAAAAATGAAAACTAAATCACAGAAAACGGAACCAGTTCTGAATTGTGTTACAGAGTTGGCATAATGCCAATGTGCAAAGAGGATAGTCTTTACAAGTTGCCCAGATGCTAACCTAGGTTCAAATAGTTGCACCGACCAAAATTTAAAAACATCGTGATTGCCGGCTGAATGCCACATTTTAAAATAGGGTAAATTACAAATACACACCCTGAGGTTTGCTTAAAATATGATTTGCCCCCTGCGGTTTTGAAAATTATATCATACTCCTTGAAATTTTTAATTTAATAACAAATGACCCCTTTTATTAATAAATCATGAGTCAATTAACAGTTTTAAATGATGTCAGAAATTTATTTCAATTAATAATTTAGGTAATTTTATTATTGTATTAGAGAGCAGTTAGGAATTTCATTTTTTAAGTTAATTTTGCTAAATAATTTTTTTTGAAAAGGGTGCATTTGTAATTTTCTAAAATATAGGGGGTAATTTATATTTTAAGCAAACCTCAAGGAGTGTGTTTGTAATTTACTCTTTAAAATATCATCATTATGCAACTCAAATAAGGTTTATAAAAAAGAAAAAGAAAAAAAAGCCTTGCTTTAAGTTCAGGCAAAAAAAGATTTAGACTGAATAAAGACATTTAAGTCCACTAGAAGGAGGTGTCCTGGTAGTAAAGGCTTGTTCCCATGTAGTTTTATGGACAGGACGACTTAGGGTTCAAGTCTCACCTACGGTTGCGAAGGAACGCAAGACTCATATCGATTCTCGGTGGGATTGAGGTTGGGCATTGGGCTAACTCAACTTGAGGGACTGTCTACAGATCACCCACATCAGCAGGACATTTAGGCTTGTCCTATCTAGCTTTTTAACGTGTAGGAGCTACTACGGTCATACTTGGGGAGAGTTGTCATGTTCAGGTTGCCCTCTTGTCCACCCTTTTTTACAGGAGGGAAGGAAGGATGGTCCATTTGAGAAAATTATGGGTCTCAATATAGCTGAATGAGGAAAAATACTTATCTGAGAAAATTATGGACCATACTCGCTAACACCCACAACCAAATGAACTAAGAAACTAAAATTAACTTGAAAGTAATATAGAGAAATAAATGCACTAGATTTAACTCGTAAAATACAATGCTAAAAAAGGAAAAAGACCTCTCTATCAGGAGAGTTATTGAGATTAAAAAAAATATAGACAAAAATTAAACCCAATGAGAAAGGCTATACACTACGCTTTTGGACCAAAGTTCCATAACATTGCCATTGCCAAAACCTTATGACTGCACCATTATAATAAATTGAAAGTTCTCAGTATTGGCCTCTATTGCTTCACATATGCGCCTTAGCTAGAATGCATTCCCAAAAATTAATGGAACTTATGCCAATCCTTCCTTAAATAAAATATGATCAAATTACATGGATAGAGAAAAAAAAAAAAATAAATAAAATAAATAAAACTATAATTCCAAAAGATCACCTCAAGGTCAAGGAAACTAAAGTCAGCATGGGTGCATCATTAAACTTTTTACTGCAAACTTCCTATGAATAATTTTTTTTTATGACAAATAATATAGAAAAAATATCAAAGAACTCATTCACATGACATAATTTTATCAATTTTCTACAAAGAATTTATCAATATCCCCGGTTCCAAAAAAATGCATTCTTGATCCAATGAAGATAACACAAACCTAAAGCATCTAAATCAAATACATTAACTACCACATTAAATAAACATATGTGCTGTATCCTGTCCTCTTACGGGTAGATACAGAAACTGCATCATATTTAGTCCATTGAAAATGTAAACCAACAGCTAGAGTACTAAAAATAATGATTGTTCAAATCATGTGCACAATAAAAGTTACTCCTACAACTGCTTAGGTGTGGTGCGGTGCCGAGCCATCACTTGTGGTTTCGATTCCCTATTAGGATGCCACTTCTAGATTATATGCTACATCAAATATCCCCATCCATATAACATAATGCAATGGCTTTAAGAGCATATGTCAACAAACAGCTTCACCAAATACCATGGACACAACTCCTTTTTAATTTCATTTTTCCACCAGAAATGCACCACATTCAACTATAATTTAAAATAAAAAATCCAAACAATAAAACCCCTACAAAGTATTGAACGAAGATAGATAGAAGTCGAGAGAGTACCTAACACCAGCATCTCCAACAATACCAATAGCCATTCCGGCTGAAAGCCCCGCTAGGCCGCAAGCTAGACCAGATGAGAGGTGCGCATATCCATCAAAGAGGTAATACGACTTGGCCTTCGGGTTAATACCTGTACTAATGATCACAGCAATAATCAGACCATAAATACCCAACACACCAGCCATAACAACGGGCACAATCGACTTCATCACAAGCTCTGGTCTCATTACACCCATTGATGCCACGCTCACACCGCTCTTTGCAGTTCCATAGGCAGCACCCATACAGGAGAAAACGAGGGCAGCAGCGGCGCCGAGGAAGCCGAAAAACGGAGCAGTTTCATCGCCGCTGAACGTCGATGCCATTAGATTTCCTCTCTTCTTCTTATCTAAATTATAATTCAACATTTTTTTTCCTTACTGAAAACTGTCACAAAATTTGGGGCCAAAAGTGAATGCAAAAATTTGTCCTTTCACTTGTTTTGGAACACATAAGACCTTGCAACCTTCAAACTCTTTTGGCAGAAAAACAAAGTTCTCTGTCTTTGTTTCCTGAACCTTCAAACTCGATTTCATCTTTCTGTTTTTTGTTATAATTACAACACTTTGGTGCCCAACATGTTACTGTGTCCACAAAATAAAGCCAACATTACCAAAAGCAACACATACAATTTTAATATTTTTCCTGAACTTTCTAGGGAACCAAACGTAGAGTAGAAAGAATTCAACAAGAAGACAATTAGGGTTAGGATTGGGGGGTATTGCTCACAGGAGAAAACGAGGGCAGCAGCGGCGCCGAGGAAGCCGAAAAACGGAGCAGTTTCATCTCCGCTGAACGTCGATGCCATTAGATTTCCTCTCTTCTTCTTATCTAAATTATAATTCAACAATAACCAGTCCTCAGATCGGCGTGTTCGTCGCGAGAAGAGAATTAAAAATGGATTTGGAGCTCTGTTTATTATATGTGGATCACATGTTTCACGCAGGGAGGAACTTTCGTGCAAGCTCGCATTGGACAGTAGTACGTTTATGTGGGCCTTTTTGGGACACCGACCCATCCAAATGCTATTACATTTTTAGGGCTTTTGTCGAGAAAGTGAAGAGTTAAATGGGCCGCAATCGAAAGTACTGCTCTTGTGACTCCTAACCTTAATGCCTTCATAAAGATGGGTTTGGGTTGGGAATAGAATCGGCTTCTTTCTGGTGAATAGGGCCTAAAACTTGGTCCAGACCATTTTGAATGATTATACATATTTTTCATGCTCGTTGAGTTTGTAATTTGAGTAGAAATTTAAAAAGTAAAATATAATTTATATTTATATTTTATTTTATTTTTTTAAAAAAAATTTCTATCCAAATCCAAGAGAGCACGCCACAACCTCTCTCCAGTTCAAAACAGACTGGAGAGTGCTGTAGCATGTTGGGTTTTTATGGGTTCACTACGGAGCTTGTATCAATAATTCGAACGGTTCAATCTGTAAGCCTAGTCGAATATTTTATTCTTGTAAAAAATCATATTGATTGAATATCAATAGCCACTTAATCATGTCATATTTATATCAATAGTAAGTTTGATTTTTAAAATAAATTATTTATACAAATATGACTTGATCAAGTAGTTATCGATATTTGATCAACGTGATTTATTTACAGGAATAAAGTACTTGACAAGTTCTATATGTTGCACAGCTCAGATTATTGATAAAATTTCCATGGATGAAGGCTCTGTGGTGGACCTACGAAAGTCTAATAGCAGTCTCCCATTGAGATACCTGATCGGAGAGAAGCCTCTCCCTACAGAGCAAGGGTTATTGGTACAGTGAGAAAACATAAAATTTCCTAGTGTCGAACAAAGTCAGCGCTTTATCTACGACAAGGAAAAAACAACAACAAAAATCATGACAAAACAAAAGTGGAAATTTTATTCAACTATGTTGCGTTACGTCGAGAAGTTACAAATAAAAGAGGGAAAACAGAAACACTAGTGTGTTGCCGACAACAATTTCTTCAATGCTCAAGTCTATTCTGGAGCTAATAAGGCTAATAATTGTATAGAAGGGTTTACTTTTTTGGTTACGTATCTTTGCCACGACTTCCACCCATTTACAAGGGATTGATGCAATTTATTTGCGATAATAATTTCCAGTTGTCTTCATTATTTTCTCCCGTTTTTATTTTTTTCTCTAGCTGATTACTAAGCAGGCAGTGTGGTCAGAAAATCACATACACACACATATCATTTTTTTAGAGTGAGTTTGATTTTTTGAAAAAGTAAAGTGAAATTAATACAACAAAAAGACAATTTGATTCTAATTTTTTCCAAACCTAAAATTAAATTAATACGTTAATTAAAATAAAATATAATATAATACAATTAAAGATTGATCTAAAATATAAAATATAATTAAGAAGTGATTTAAAATATAATTCCATTGAATGCATAATCCAAGAAAATACATACATATATATATATATATTTTTTCTAGCCATTCATAATGCACTTTGTAGCCATTCCTATTTTACAAAGAGCATCAAAATATTTTTTGCCTGGAAAATAGGAATAGGAATGCCTTTCTGATGCTCTTTGTAACAAGATGACTTTGCCAAACCTTAAATTAAATTTGGCTCAAGATTTAATTTTGTCATTTTTAGCTAGACCAATGACATATCATTCGAGTACCACTTTTGAGAAACAAAGTCATTTTTTAATTTTCACATGATCAATGACATAACAATTAGAGATGTTCTAACCATTCTCCTACTTAAGAATTGATCTTGTTTTCGGATCTGAGCTAAGCATTACTCATCCGGCCAGAACTTGAAACTCCGATCAAGTCAATGGCTATCAACTTTCAGTTATGTTCCCAACTAAATTTTATCAATTTTTAAATATCGATTAGAATTGTGTAAAGAAGTATTTACGAATGTGACCATTAATATTAGGGTTAAATTCATTTTATTCCTTCGTAGTTTGGGGTAAGAACACTTTGACTCAAATATAACTAGAAAGTCCTCATATAGTTTTGGACTAAAGTGTTACCGTTAAGTTTTTCATCCAAATTAACGGAAGGTATATCACACATATCATTTTTTTAGAGTGAGTTTGGTTTTTTGAAAAAGTAAAGTGAAATTAATACAACAAAAAGACAATTTGATTCTAATTTTCTCCAAACCTAAAATTAAATTAATACGTTAATTAAAATAAAATATAATATAATACAATTAAAGATTGATCTAAAATATAAAATATAATTAAGAATTTATTTAAAATATAATTAAATAAAAATATAAAATAAATAATAATTAAGAATTTAGAATTAATTGTGATATAAAATAAAGTAAAATTAAAATTAGATTAAAAATAAGGAATTACAATAAATAATTAAATATTTAAGAGTAATTGTGATTGAAAATATAATTAAATTAAAATTAGAATAAAAAGTTAAGAATTACAATAAATAATTAAAAATTTAAAAGTATTGTGATTTAACTGAATTAAGGTTAGACACTATAAATTATGTCTATAAGAGAGGAGAGAGAAAGAAAATAAGCAAAAATAAATAAATATAAGAATTGAGAGTATTATAGTCTTTTAACATTTATAATTAACGGTATTAACGATTGTACTTTGATCCAAAATCACATAAAAGCTTTCTAACTATATTTGAATTATAGGTGCTGTTAAAAAAAAAAAAAAAAAAAAAAAAAAAAAAGGTGAGTAAAGTGTTTTTGCCTCAAACCACGAAAGGGTAAAATAAATTTTATCCTCAATATTATATAAATACTTTAGTCTTCCCATCAACTAGTTTAGATTATGTTTAAATCTTAAATTTGTAAAATGATTTTTTTTTTCTGGTTTAAGAAAAAAAAAATAAAAATGAAACATTCAAAACATTATTCTTGTTATTAAAGCATCTGGCATATTTATAATAACTTTCATCATTGAATTGGCCAAACTCTCATAGTGCATAAAAGTTATCGTTTCAACATCATATGTAAAAAGTCAACAGTTTTTTATTGATGATTATTATTGAACATTTGGCATAATAAACTTGGAGTTGATCGATCATTTCCATCTTCCAAAAGGAAAAAAACAAAATTGTTGACATTGTAACTACACAGAACAAGTGTCGAGCGCAGCCCCACGTTTGGTTCACAAATCATGAATTAATTAATCTCTGACCCCAATTAGATGTGTGGAGGGGGCACCCAAAAAAAAGAAAGATGTGAAAGAAAATCTCATCCAAAACCATCACTACTAACAAGTAATTATTGGTGGTTTTCAGTAATTTTGTGCTGATTTACTTATCACATTCAATTATGTTACAAATACATAAAATTTTAATATAATGAGACATAAATGTAATATAAATGATGAGTTCTCACATGTGAGGTCCACCTTGTTACACATTTGTTTCTTATTCTATAAAAATCATTTGAGGTTTTTAATTTGATTATTATAGTTCTTAAGAAATTTTAGAACAGATAATGAATGCTCAGTGAAGTTTTATTATGTATTTTTCTGGGTTTGGTTCAAAAGTTATAGATGTTTATAAATGTGTTGTAGGGAATATTTGGGTCAAATATCATCATATATATATATATATATATATACTAGCGTATGCCTGTACCTGAAAGCATGATATAAATAATCTTAGAATTAGAATATAATTGAAATCCCAACACTATTTAAATTTATTTTTTAATTTGATAAAATTACAAATTTATTATAAAATTTTGAAATTCTCACAAAACACTTTACGAAAACTCGCTTTTACTTATATAATATATAGCTAGATAGATAGATGTGCCTAACATACATAAAATTTCCACCGGCATACATTCAATATTGCTTTTACTTATATAATTATATGGAAATTGCATGTATGCCCGTAATGCCCTAGAGAGAATAAAAAAAATAAATAATTAGAGAGAAAAATAAAAACGGGAGAAAATAAAAAAATAACAAGAAAAGACAGAGGAAGGCGGGATCATGGGATCATGGAAGGAGGGGTGTGAGAAAAGGAAAAAGTAAGAGAGAGAGAAGCAAGAAAGTAGAAAACGTATATGTAGAACATTTTTTGGAAAATATATCTCAGCCATTCTTTTATAATTTGAACAGATCTGAGTCATCCAAATGTCCTAATAGGACAAAAATATGTTGAAGATTTAAAAAACGTCCTACTTTATTAAAATATGTTGAAAATTCATATGAGGTCTAAATATACAAAGTCTATCAGGTATTCAATATATTTAAAAATAATAATTAATTGTTCAAATTCATTTAATTTGTGAACTAAAAAAATTCATTAATATAATTTCCACTATACACAGTAAAATCTGGCTCCTAATTTTGGGATCGCAGACTTTTCCATATAATATGAATAAAAATAAGTGAACAAAAA